ATGGGGAACGGGGCGGGGGCCTCAGCCCGAGGACGGAGGGGCGGGGGTCGGGGTTGGGGAGCATCTTCCCTCGCCTGGAGCCCCGGAGTCCATGCAGCTTTCGCAAGCCGAGAGGCCCTGAGAGTATGCCCGGTCCAGCCCTGAGACTTAACACAGGCCCAGAGAGGCTGAGACACCTGCCCGAGGTCACACAGCAGTCGGTAGCAGAGCCACAGTTCTGCCAGCCCTGAAGGTGAGGGGCTCTTGGCTTTCGCTTTGGTGCCCCCAAAGGTGACAGCCGGGGCAGAGGTTTGCGCAGGAATCCGAGACGCCGGGGGCACAGGGCAAGCCGGCCGCAGGCACGAAGCGCCCCCGAGGAGGGCACCAAGAGGCGGGACCCGGGGGACGGGGGCGGGGGTTCTGGCCCGGACCGGGAGGCCCGTATCCGCTCGGGGACCGTCCACCCCGCAGCGCACAAGCAACAGACCCGGGGAGGGGAGAACGGGCCTCGCCACCCCCGTCTGGTCCCCCGAGGGTCGTTTTCCGGGGTCCCCGTGGTGAGGCCGCAGTGGGCGCCCCCTGCTCGCCTGAGACCCCAAAGCCAGGCCCGGCCTCCGCCACCCCGGCGGCCACGGCCCGGACCACGGCGGGGTCTGGGCCCTTCTCGAAACTAAAAGGGTTTGAAATCGAGGGAAATGACTTCTAGGGGCGCTGGCGCTTCCAGCTTTCAAGTGGGAATAAACGTCCTCGAGTGACCCCGTCTCCACCGGGCGGGACAGAGAGAGGCCGTCCTGTCTTCCGTCTGTCTGTCTGTCTTTCCCTCTGTTCCTCTCCCTCCTTGGCTGGTCCGGGTGGCGGACAGGAGCCGTCCTCTGCTCCCTGTTTCCGTGGCTTCACCGGAATGAATGGCAGGTGGACAGAACCTTCTGGGTCTTTTGTCCCCAGTCGACTCCCTCGCGGGCGGGTCGGTGGCCACACGGTCCCACGAACGCGGCAGGAGGGGCCGGGACCCTCAGCATTACAGGGTCCCGGAACCGGCGAGCCCCAGACACCAGAAGTCTGCGGAAGAGTCCGGAAGAGCCGGGCTCCCGCCCAGAGCGGCGTCGTCTCCGGGGACAGGGGGAAGCCGACTCCCTGAGCCAGCCTGGGCCTGACGCCTGGACTCCTGACTGCGCCGGGGGCATCCGGCGCCCACTTGCTTACCTCCCGTGACGGGGAGCTCACTCCTCCCTGGCAGCTCGTTCCAGCTCCGTGGCTGGAACGTGGGGAGAATGGTCCGGAACCCAGCTGGGACGCTGGGTCTTTGTCACACCTGGGACCTCTCCCTGCAGGGACCTGGGGCACCCCCGGCGTCTCGCTCCTCTGGGCATCCTGGAGACCCGGCTCGGAAAGAGACTCCAGCCGCGGTGGGGACCTCGCTGCCCGGCGCCCCGGTCACCACGGAACCGGGAACGGAGGCCGCGTCTCCTCCCCGGCTCAGGGTCCGCCGGGCCCGCGACCACCCGCTGCCGTCAGAGCATCTGGGGGCTGCCGGGGCCTGGCGCGCGGGGGGCCGTCCCGGTGCTCTGCGCCAGCGGGTCGCGGCCGATGACGAGGTCCAGCTCCTCGGCCGCCTCTGCCAGGAGGGGCACCGCCAGGCGGCAGTCGAAGTCCCGCGTGCGCACGCGGTTGACCTGCAGATGCCCAGGGGGACAGAGCGGGGACCGTGTCACCTCGACACGGCGGCCCGCCCGGCCTGACACGGCGCGTCTGCAGCACGAGACGCAGAGGACGCCCGGCCCCTGCGTCCTCCTCCGCTCGGGTCGGGCAGAGAAAGTCCCAGCCTGTGTTTTAGGATAAATACAGCAAAACCACACCGAGGGGAAGGAAAATAGCAGGGCGGGAAAGGGTGGCCCCGGGTGGCCCCAGGGGTGCCCTGCATTCCCCAGGCTCCCCTGAGCCGGGCCGGTCACACGCACGCGATAAACACGAGTTTGCGCAAGGCCAGCCCCTGGGGTCCGGCTGGTTCGTCCCCGCAGCAACTGAGGCCGACCCGGCTCACGGGACTGGTGGTGTCGTTGTGCCTCGTCCCCCGCCCTGGGGCTTGGAACGAGGCCACCCCCACCCCGGCGTTACCTGGAGGAGCCTGTCGAAGGGCCGGAGGCCCCCGCGTTGGGCCGGCCCGTCGGGGCGCAGGGTGTGCACGTAGACGCCCCTCTCCAGGAGGCCGTCGGAGACGCTGAAGCCGAAGTCTCTCCGCGTGGGGTCCTTGCGCAGGGTCACCTGGGAGCGGGAGAGGAGGAGGCCCCTGGAGCAGAGGCCCCGGCCCCTGCCTCCCGCAGGAACCGTCGCCAAACGGCCGGCTGCCCCCGCGAGGCAGTTTTTACACAGTGACCTGCGGAGGGCACCAGACGCCGGCCTCTCGCTCTCCCGCCTGTGATCCCAGCACCCTGGGAGGCCGAGGCGGGAGGATCGCTCGAGGTCAGGAGGTCAAGACCAGACTGGGCAACATAGCAAGACCCCGTCGCTACTAAAAATAGAAAGAAATTAGCTGGACAACTAAAAATATATAGAAAAAATTAGCCGGGCACGGTGGCACGTGCCTGTGGTCCCAGCTACTCGGGAGACCAAAGCTGGAGGATCACTCGAGGTCAGGAGTTCGAGACCAGCCTGAGCAAGAGCGAGACCCCGTCTCTACTAAAAATATAAAGAAATTAGCCGGACGACTAAA